TCTTATCACTTAGCAAATTACAAGGGTTTCAAGAGCTCTGTGCCAGGAACTGGAAGCAGAGACCAATATATTTTTCTATTATCTCATTAAAGCCCACTAGAATACGTATTATTTTTAAATTCTTGACATGATCTTTTTTTTTAAAGATTTTATTTATTTATTTGAGAGAGAGAGCACGAGCACTGACTGAGCCACCAACCGACTTAGCCATTGACGTAATTTCTGATATACAGTATAGTACAAGGATTCCTGTATAACTTTCACCCAGAAACCCTAAATGGTAACATTTTACTATAATTGCTTTATCGTTCTTTCTCTCTCTTTACTTTTTTCCTAAAATATTTGAGAGTAGGTTGCAGACATGATATCCCTTTCAACCCTAAACACTTCACTGTGCATTTCCTAAAAACAAATTCCGGGGCACCTGGGTGGCTCAGTCGGTTAAGTGTCTGCCTTCGGCTCAGGTCGTGACCCCAGGGTCCTGGGATCGAACCCCGCATCAGGCTCCCTGCTCTGCAGGAGGCCTCCTTCTCCCTCTCCCACTCCCCCTGCTTGTGTTCCCTCTCTCGCTGTGTCTGTCTCTGTCAAATAAATAAATAAAATCTTTAAAAAAAAAAAATCATTGAAATGAGAAAATGTTTACTGATGCCATACAGTGACTTAATCTGTAAACCTTATTCTAGTCTCACTAGTTGTCCTAATAATGTCCTTTATAGCAAAAGGAAATCCTGGATTATGGATTGCATTAGGTTGTCATGTCTCTTTAAAGTTTTCCTGTCTTTCCTGATTTTGACAGTGGTGAGGCGTGAAGGCCAGTAGTTCTGAGGACTGCCGTTCAGCTCGAGTGCATCTCGTGTCCCCTCATGACTAGGTTTATGTCGCTCATTTGGGCAATAGGATCACAGGTGTTGGTAGGTGCTCAGTGCGTCCGACTGGGACGCGCTTGATGTCCACTCATTCCACTACTGGTGATGTTAACTTTGATCACTTGGTTGAGGTAGCATCTGCCCAATTTCTCCACTGTACAATGATTTCTTTGTTGTTGTTGTTGTTGCCATTAATATAATAATTACAAAAATAAACATACATTTTTTGCTTTTGTAATGAGTAGGTATCCTGCTGTGGGGCACACTGAGACTGTATAAGTATCCTGTTACTCATCAGACTTTGACCCAGGAGAGTCTTTATCATCCGTTGATGACTCCATCAGTGTTGACTATAATGGATGCCAAATGATGATTTTTTAATTTAGCTGGCATTCTCCTGTAAGGAAGAGCTTTCCCTTTTACCTACATATATATTTATATCAACATAAAATCATGGGTTCTTAATTTGTCAGGGGGCTATAATCAGTTCTCTTTATTTGGATCTTCTAATTGTCCTTGACTTGGCAAGTAGAAGAGCTCCATCTCACTGCTTCTGTGTCCTTTTGACATGTCCCTATCTAGACGTGGTTGCCAGATGTTGTCATTGCTACTGGGATATCATTGCTTCTAGGCCCTGTATAGACAGAACCATGAAATACATACATGCGAGAGTATGTGTCGCCCCCCGAAATGACATGCATTCCCACGACACACATCTGTAACCCTGTTACCAGCGTAAACGTGTGGTGAACCTCAGGTATATTGAGGCAAAAAAAATGTTTTAGAACCATTGGCCCAATACATAACTGCTTGCTAAATGAAGGGTGAATATTCTATGAGGTCTCATTTGGAATTTTCTATTACTTCTGCCAATTCTCTTCAAACACTGAAATAAGAACTCCTTTTATATGGAGGTGTTGATGCAGCCTAAGTTGTAGTGGAACTTAAAGACAACAGAGTCCTTAAGGTGATGTGGTGTTTAAATGTTTTCAGATCTCTAATGGATACATGTCTGGTCTAGGTCTGTGCGAGTAATAGACTGATTTCCACTCTGGAGAATCTGTATGAGAGGAAGCTCTTGGCACGTTTTGTCATTGATGAAGCACATTGTGTCAGTCAGGTAAATACTGGTTTATGTGACTTGGAATATCAATAAATACATACTACCAACAGGATATATATTTTCAGAATAGAGGGAAATCAGTGACTTATTCTAGCTCACTGAAAAAAAGGATAGTTCTCAATACAGTGAGCAGTGTTTGCTTTTTATGTAAGGAAGATCCAAATAGTCTGAAAAGTGGTATTTTTTTTCTCCCAACTAGTGGGGACATGATTTTCGCCAAGATTATAAAAGAATGAATATGCTTCGCCAGAAGTTCCCTTCTGTTCCAGTGATGGCCCTTACCGCCACAGCTAATCCCAGGGTACAGAAGGACATCCTCACTCAGCTGAAGATTCTCCAACCTCAGGTGTAAGTTGCTGAAAGTTCTGAATTTAAAAACCCTGGGACAGTGGTTCCCGGATTGCTGCACATTGGAATCGTGTACTGAGCTTTAAAAATCCCAGGCACAGATTGCACTCTGTCAATTAGATCACAATTTGGGGGGCCGGGGGCCATTATGTTTCTAAAAATCCCCAGGTGACTCCACTGTGCAGCAAAATTTGGGAACTGAGGCCCAACGGCTTTTTACTTACTAACATTAAAACTCTACCCCAATATTTTGGAAGTAGGGATAAAGTGTGTGCTGTACCTGTTAACTCTAGGATGGTCCCAGGAGTAAATGAGCTTTTATTCATCTCATTTCAGCTCCCATACATCCTAGAGTATACATGATGAAATAAACAGATGACCCTGCTTTGTCATTTTCCCCTGAAGTCCCACTTATATCCAAGATATTGAAAACCGTCCAGAAACGATGTGTAACAGCTTTTATACTTTGTTTGCATCTCAACAGCAAAGTGCTTCTTGTTGCCACCAAATCCATAATTACTTGTAACAGAAACTACTATAAAAAAAAAAATATCCCCACATATCTAGGTTGTCCTGGATTGTTCCGTACCTCCGCATGAGTTTGTAGAGACAGGTGCCTTCTCTGATAGGTTCATTCACTCAGCAAATATTTACTGAACAGCTGCTGTGTGCCAAGTTAAAATACTGTTCCCTTCTAATTTATTAATGGGTGTTTTGAGTCTGAGGAATGCCTGAAGAAATGACCGATAGTTGGGGTGAATTGTTACGGCACACCTTTTGTTCATTTGGAAGTAAAGACAATAAGCTGGCTCTCTAAGTATTGTCGTTGGTAAAAACAGCAGCATCCCTCAACGGGTTATGGGAAGAACCGAAAGTGCCACATGAAAGATATGGGAGTAAGACAGCCACAGGGATTAAACTGGCATTCTTGAGCACACAAATTTTAGAGTCCTCAGAATTTTGTGTGTGAAATCACAAAATTTGGAATGGAATATTTTACTTTAATCTCACTTGCAGAAGGGTGTTTGTGTAGAATTTGGGGGTGCTGGGAGACTTTGCTTCCATAATTGGTATACATTATAACATTAGATTTGAGGTGTCATAGTATGCTTTAGGTTCTAGTGAATAACCTACATGCTAGAAATTCACTTTTGTAAGTACTATATTGATCTGTGAAAGCCTTTCTTTTTTTTAATAGGCAATGTTTTTAGCTTTTTTCCACCAAATTTATGCCAGATGCAGTCTACTCTTCTTTTAGGCCAGTCAAATTAATTGCCAAATGCACACAGTTAAAAGAAATTGTATAAATTCAACTCACCTTTTGAGTAACTTTCTGTAAGTATGGAATCTGTCATTTTTGTTTGAATAAACATTGCACATACGCATTTAGAGACAGACACCTTTAGTATCTTTTCCTAGTCACGTGAGGAGATAAGCCTGGAAAAGCAATAGATTGTACATTTCCTGAGTCTAGCATGTGGCGCCCTGTGCATAATTGGCACTCAGTAAGAATGAATAAATGGAACATATGGAGGAATTTTGGTAAATGTGGGTAAAATATGAAGATTTGGGCAAGTCTGTTGATTCCTTAATATATTTGGTACTTCTATATTTGGGAGAGTTTAAATCTCTTAGTGGAAGTAAAAGATTTTAACAGACACTTTCTGGTACATTTTTTCCTGATCTCTTTTGCCAATAGGCCCTTGTTTGGATTAAATTTATCCAGCTGCTGCTGTGCTGTGGGCCCTGGTGAAGGCAGGTCTCCCTAGGCTTGGAGCCATGGCCCCCGTGCTCCTCTCCTACAGTCAGTCTGTGCTGATCTTCTTCTTTGGGAAGTACAAGGATAGGTAATAAAATAGAGACTTTATTCCTTTTCCTTAGAACCTTAAAATATAAAGTGAGAAACAGGAGACAGACATATAGACAGTTGATATAACAATAATATCGTAATACAACAATAACAAGAGCTGACAGTTACATATTTAGCCTATACAATGTGCCAGGCACTGTTCTTGACATTTTATGTATATTAACTCATTTCTCTACACAAAAGGTGAAGGCTTACGAGGTTAAGTACTCCTATTTTCCTCACTTTGGGATGAGGAAATGGAGGCACAGAGAAATAACTTCAACAAGGTCATATGCTTCGTGAGTGCTGGAGGGAGGACTTAAACCCAAACAGTCTGGTTTTAGAACCCTTTAAATACTTTTTAATAAGTTGCAGAATGAAGTAAGTGGTAATTAGAGATGTAAATTATGACTGCAGGAACTCAGGAAGGCAAGATTGACTATAACCCAAAATAACAACTAGTTGTTAATGAGGAGGGGTCAGATAGGGTTTTATAAGGGAAGCGGGCTTTGTAGAATGAGTAGTCTTTTTTGTAAGCAGCTGTGTTGAGATACAGTTTACATACCTTAAAATTCACCTATTTAAAGTATGCAACTCTATGTTTTTGTTTTTTTTTTTTAGTTTATTCACAGGGTTGTGCAACTCCACAACTATCTAATTTTAGAACATTTCTGTCTCCTTAAAAGAAACTCCATACCCATTAGCCGTCAGGTCCCACTATCCCCCCCATCTCCCCAGCCCTAGACAACCACTAATCTACTTTGTGTCTTTATAGATTTTTGCCTAAGCTGGACATTTCATATAAATAGAATTTTACAAAACATGGCCTTTTGTGGCTGGCCTCTCATGTAGCATCACGTGTCCACGGGTCATCCGTGTCGTAGCGCGTCAGTACTTCATCCTGTTTCAGTGACAAAAAATACGCCATCGTAAGCGTACTCTCTACATTTTATTCGTTCATTTATCATGTGTTGGATATTTGAGTTGTTTCCATTGTGTGGCTGTTATTATTAGGAATAGTGCCATGAACCTTTGTGTCTAAGTTGTCACGTGGACAGGCGCTTTCCTTTCTCGGGGACATCTGTCCAGCAGTGGCGTTGTTGGGTCAAAGGAACTGCAGGTTGTTTTCCCAAGCAGCTGCGGCACACAGTGTGTGAGGGTTGCAGTTTCTCCCCGCACCAACACGTGTTACTGTGTGTCTTTTTGATGATACTCATCCTAGTGGGTGTGAAGTGGTGAGAATGGCGCTTTCGCGGGTGGAGAGTGAGGATTCAGGGCTGAAGTTTCAGGCATCAAAGTACAGGTTGGTTCCAAGGAACAGAGAATAATCCATGGGATGAGTGGAGAGACGTGGAGAAGGGCTGGCCCTGGGGAGGTGGCTTGATGCCTGATCCTGGGGATCTTGCGTTTCGCAATGATAAAGTATTTGGACTTAGTCCTGTGGGCAGCTTGACTTGGGAAGTGGCTTGACCTGAACCCTACGGTAGAATGATCCACCGTGGCAGCAGAGCAGAAGGTGGAGCGGAGGAATGAGAGATCAGAGGCCAGACGGCCCTAGGAAGCCCACTGTAGCGTTCTAGGAGAGGGGTGATGGGGACTCAGGGGACAGGGTGGAGGGAAATCACAGTTGAATCCGTAAGACTGGCAGCCGATGACATAAGAAAAGCAGACAACGTGGAAGTTTCTACTTGTTTCTGGTGCGGGTGACGAGCACCACTGACCATAACTGGACGTGCAGGAGGGGAGAGGGGTGGAGCGGTGGGTAATGAATTTGATTTTTAGATCTGTGGTTTGGGGGTGTTTACGGGATGAGTGGGGATGGTCATGGCCTCAGTCTTCATACTTTCTTTGGTCATATGGGCCTCCTAAAAGAATTTTGGAAAACCGTACCACTTGTGTATTTCTAACCTGACACCAAATATTTTTCAGCATGAGTTTTAAATAAAGAGAATACGGTCTGTTGTAAATAACATTTTTAAATAAAATTGTTACCTAGCCCTTTTAAATGTATCCAGTAGAATATAAGCATAATAGCAATTTTGTACCTACTTTCACTCATTTAAAAAGCACATTAAAATTTTTTAACTTTAAATTTCTTCAAAAATTTCTTTAACAGATATTTTACATCTTTCCTTTTTCTTTTTGAACTCCTATTTCTCTTTCAGTTTCCCCACAGGTTTTTATCCTAAGGTAATATGTTTTTATACATGAAGTCTTGTTTCTTACTCTGTCATACTTACCTGCAACAAAAATAGGTAATATAAATTAAAAGTTGTTTTTAAATTTCCCATGCCAAAATTTTCTTCCAGATTGAATTATTATAATCATTAGTTATATATAACTGATCAGAATAGTTTAACTGTATTTTTCAAATTTTAAGCATACATTTTGATTGGGAATGTAATTTAATGAGATAGGACTTCTTTTCAGTTAGCTGATACCTCTGCGGACAAATCAAGACAGTTCATATTTCTTATTTTTATAGATGTAAGCATTGAGAACCATTGCTCACATAAACATGTAGATGGGAATGGAAAGCATTTTATTATAGCAGTAACGCTCAATTATTTGAATTTTTTCTGATGTATATGCCAAAATTACATAATGATCTGTCATCAAAAATTATTTTTAATGATCGGTCAGTTGACAACTTAAGTCCTTTAAATTTTGTGGAAAGCAAAGAATTATAAACTATTTGGCAAAATAGGTCAGATCATTAGTTACTCACTTTACTTTTTCTGGGAAACATGCTATAAAAATATTTTACCAAGACTTATCTAATGACCATTAAATATTGTTGTTGCTGGGGCGCCTGGGTGGCTCAGTTGATTAATTATCCAAGTCTTGGTTTTGGCTCAGGTCATGATCTCAGAGTTGTGAGATTGAGCCCTGCATCAGGCTCTGCGAGCCTGCTTGAGATTCTCTCTCCCTCTGCCCTTCCCCCACCAATCAATAAATCAATCAATAAATATTCTTGTTCATCTTTCACTGAAATGAATCTTGTATCCATTATATTTGGAAGAGTTGGGGGAATCAAAATGCTGTTAGTTTCAGTACACCTTTTTAATATATTTTTGACAGGTGTTTTTATTGTGGGATATGCTTTTAAATAATAGTTTTACCAAAATTCTGTGGCTACCAGTTAGCTT